AAATTCAAATATAAACTTGTATCCTTAAGGGACTGTGGGCGGGCTCACACCTGGATCGAGATACTTTGACCTCTGTGCCGTCTAAGCTGCAAAATGACCTTTAAGGTTTACCAGTTACCAAAATGCCTTATGATTCCAACTGGCGTCTGGTGCTGAGACTTATTACGTCTTCAGAGACATTGGACACTAATCTAATTGCAATGCACATATTTTTGGAGGTAAACGATGCCTGCTTTGACCTTCTTCTTTGTCCCTTGTATCCAGGACTTGTGCAGGTTTAAGAGAACTACTCTTAAAGAGTGTGATGTTGTTAAATGCAATTTTATGCAATCATACATTTTTGTCATATTACTCAAAAATGGAGTTATTCGCCAGTCTGTGGAAAATGTTAAACAAATGGAAGCTAGTTTTAACATAATATAGGAAATTTTATTTTTCTTGGAAGTTTGTTGAAAACCATAGGGCAATAAAGTTCTACCTTTAGTGACTTGAATTATTAAAATTTAATTTTGCATTCTTATACAAATGGTTCTTAGCTGGAAAGAGCAGCTGAGAGGAACAAATCAAACATCATCTGCTTATGAGAAAAATATCCTTTTGAAGTCTAAATTGGTAGCACGTTGTTACTCAATTGGACAGGAGCCTGAACAGTTATCATATCCTGGCTCAAGTGGAAGCAGAAAGAACTGGCTCATGGGTAGAGGCAATAACGCTAGTCATAGAATCCAATCCCCAAAGAAAATGAGATGTTGCAATAAACTCAGAGAGAGAGAGATTGCATTTATCCTTAAGTTTGAATCATAAGGAATAAATTTCTTTTGTCTTCTCTAAGCAGAGAAATGTAGGTTTACATGCCAAGGTTAGCTGTGCGAGTCTACACGTGCCGCTGTAGAAATACTAATGGTCTCCAAGTGATCATCAGTTAAAAAATTAGTTGATGATGTTCCTGCAGAAATATGTCTGTGTAAGTCATTATATGTCACTGTGAGCTGTAAAGATTTTATTATGTATGTGTATGTATTTTAGTCCATGACCCCCGCCGCCACTTGTGAGAAATCTAAGTAGATCTGCCCAGAGCAATGAGGCTGTCCTTTGCATAAGGATGAAGTTCAGAATCAGGGAAATAAAATATTAGAGGCTTGTCCTTGAGATTGGTCTGAGTTACAGAACTGGGTTGTATTGGCTCCTCCAGTTACCATAGAGTGAAAAACAAATACTCAGAAATGCATTGCCATTTTTTTCCCAGTCTCATGCTCCTTTAGCTTCACTTATTTTTATTTTTTCTTAAGGAAAACTTGTTGTGAAGCATAGCCAACATGCTGGGTTTTACCTTCCTCCTTAGGGTTACCTCACTCCCATGGGTTTGAAAAACGGTGCAGGCAACACATATTCCCCTTGCCTTTTCATGAATGGTGTTCTTGATCCCAATCTTGTTGAGATTTGTCTTCTTTCCCTTTTTTTCCCTCCAGGATGGACGCCTGTTCATTTCAATTTTGGTCACAATCTAGAGCTCATTCCCTTCTGATGAGATGCTTCTGTGTACAAAAAAGCTAGAGCAGGACGCTTGGGTGGCTCAGTCGTTACGCATCTGCCTTCGACTCAGGTCGTGATCCCGGGGTCCTGGGATCGAGCCCCGCATCTGGCTCCCTACTTGGCAGGAAGCCTGCTTTTCCCTCTCACTCTCTCTCCCTCTGCCTGCCGCTCCCCCCCACCCCCCGTTTGTGCTCTCTCTCTCTGTCAAAAAAAAAAAAAAAAAGAGCTAGAGCTAAGGGGTTTCAAGGTGGTTCCTACCGCAGCTTTATATGTCTGTTCTCTGATGTGCAAACCTCCACCTACCTTTCAGCAAACACAGCCGTGGACCAACGTGGTTGCGTAGTCCCACAAATTGCCACCCTATTCAGTGTATTTCCCAAGAAGAAGTTAGCTAGGAAGCTCTAACAGGATTACCCAGGCAGGATGGTCTTTAGCACCTGATCTTGCAGAAAGTTCTAACTCAGGTCTGATCCTCCTGTGGGAGTTGCAGAACCTCTGCTTTGTTCTTCTAAGTGGCTAACAGATGTCTGCAGAACACACACACACACACACACACACACACGCAAGCCTACCTCTAAAGGAAAAATAGTATTCTAAATGACAATTTCAAGGCCTTCTTGTCTCACAATGAATGTTGCATTCCATGTAAGCTTTTAATTTAGAAAATTTCATCCCATTTCTGCATTCAAATCAACCCTTACTAGGAGTAAGAAATTATCCCTTAAAGGTGACTCCCTTGGCACATCTAAAGACTCCTCTAAATCTTTGGTGTTTTACTTGCTTTATTGGCCTCAGTTATACAAGGCACCAATCTTCTCCACAGCCTCTGTTGGTCTGAATAGAAGGGAGGAACTAAGACAGTACTGACAGGGGAGAATTTTGAATTTGCTTTTTCACTTGTAAAAGATTTAACCCTGTGGATGACTAAGGCTTTAGAAAGGTCATCTGCCCACTCCTAGGACTAAACCAGCACTGCCTGATAGTAATATTATGTGAGCCACACATGCAACTTAAAATTTTCAAGTAGCCACACATTTAAAATGTAAAAAGAATAATATGAAATTAATTTTAATCATGTGTCTTACTTAACCTAATCAGGGTCTCAGTGAGGGCTCAACCAGAAAAGCAGAACCAGTAGAAGATTATGCAGATATATTTAGAAATTATAGTATTAAGAAATTCATTACAAGGAATTGGCCTATGTGATTGTGGGGACTGGCTAAACAAGTCAGAACCCATAGGACAGTAGTCAGGCAGGGAAAATCACAGGCAAACTTGAATCTATGGGCAGGGATGAAAGCTGTCATCCCCAGATAGAATTTCTTCCCTCTCTCCAGGAAACCTCATGATCCAGAATCATCTGCTCATTTAAAGTCTATGGATTAAGGATTTTAATTATTTCTGTAAAATACCTTCATGGCAAATCCAAGATTAGTGTTCATTTGAATGATGTGGGATAGTAGTTTAACCAAGTTGACACACAAATAAAATGATCACATTAAATATGTCTAAGATCATATCATTCCAGTGTTACTAATATAAAATCATTAATGAGATATTTCACATTCTTTTTTATACTAAGTCTTCATAATCCAGTATGTACTTATACTTATGGCACATCTCAATATGGACAAACTGCATATCATGTCCTTAATATGCACGTAAGTCCTGTGGCTACTGCCTAGGGCAGTATAGGTCTAGCTAGTGAAAGTGATTATGCTGGTTATCTCATATCCTTAGACAGTTCTAAAGATATAAATTCTTTGTGTGTTGTGTGTTAAGTAAGATTTATGTTAGCTTTATTGTCTATAGCCTATAAGATACAACTTTACTGTGCCTTTGCAAATAGGGCACAGTTTCTTTAAAAACATATAAAATTTTTCATACATATGCCTCTATATGATAATTTACAGTGCAACACATTCTTGTTTCATAATTATAGAAATAATGTAGAAACCAAGAGCACAGGATAAGCAAAAGTAATACTGTCCTGAGCCATCTGAGCATGTTCTTGAGGGCTCATTTTTGCCATACAGAGGGCATTTGGCACTGTCTAAAGACACTTCTTATAGTCATGACCGGGGGGTGGAGCTACATGCATTTAACAGGTAGACGCCAGGGATGCTGCTAAATACCAGAGCTTGCACAGAACAGCCCCACTCTACTCCCAAATAATGATTCACCCAACTCAGAAAAGATTGATGGTAAGTGTCCAGCAGATATCTGGAACACACACACACACACACACACACACACACACACACTTGGAGTAGGATTTGGAGACCTATAGAGAAGAGATTTTTTTAAAAAATGGTGAGAGAGGCAGAAAAATGGATTCCTATGGGTTTTGAAGATCTTTCTTTGAAACCTGGAGAAATTTTATCAGAGATGTGATTAAGTATCTTAACTCTTTTGTATCTCTATTGCCATATCAAAGTCAGGGATGGGATAAGGGTAAAGGGGTGGCTCTGTAAATAGCGTGATGCGGGATTCATGGGGCAGACAAGTGGGGAGATTTTCACAGTGATGATTACCTCCTTAACAGGTGAAAATCACTGTCTTTTCTGAAGATACTTAGGAATTTCTGACAGTTGGTCTTGATTTTAGACTTCTGGAAAAGTTACAAAAAATGCAAATTCACATTTACAAATGGAGAATTTAAAATGTGTACAGTGATTAGAACCATCTCAGATCATCTGTGAAATAAAGTTGTGATAAATAAATAAAACTCATTAGCATTTTTCTAAGAAAAATCACGCTATTAAGTCACTTTTCTGAGGTAGTAATCATATCTGTAAACTCTAATATTTAATTTAGGTCTATCCAAATTAACTGCGAATTCAGAATTAACTTCATTTTCCAAGCCTTGGCGATGTATGTATACTGAAGCTAGCAGAAAATTAAATATATTTGTTAAAACCTGATACTTAGGAAAAAATGTAACAACTGACTTATTCCATGAAATGTGTCATATCTGCATGCAGTAATTATTGGTTAAATGCAATGCCAAATTCTGATTATAAACATAGCTTAGAGTCAATACTTCTGAGATATATTTCCTATTAGGTAGTTACAGTTCATTTCACAAATTCTTAATAATATGTAAAAATGAAATCTTCTTCAATCTAAATGACATTTTTACTAAGGATTCTTAATTGAATTGAGAGTAATTGAAAAAAAACATAATTATAGCTTGTGATCAATTTTAGCACTGAAAATGATGACAAAAATCCCCATTTATGTAAGTTTTTACGCTTTTTCAAATAACACTAATTTTGAGGTAAATCCAACTTTTTCCTTATTTCAGTAAATGAGTGATTTATGTAGCAATATGTTCCAATGACTTTTTCCAGTTAGGACAAATTTAGACTTCATGGTAGAATTTGAAAGTTTAGATCATAGCTATAACTTATATTTTGTACATTTTCAAAAAAAGTTTTTAAATTACAAATTCTGTGTTTTCCTAGAAATACACAAAGAAAAGACTGAAAAGCAGGAGAAAACTGAAAGGAAAATACTAACTAAAGGTAACGGTTTAATTTCATGTTTATTCTTATTTTTATTTAGGATATATATTTTGTGTGCTCATATGGAAGAAAGGAAAATTTTCATGTCGAGTGTTCCCTTGTTTTAACATTTTTGATAGTGTTTAAATGAATAGCTTTACCTCTCGGTTAATTTCAGGTATAAACACATAAGTAATATTTAATTGTTGGAATCAAAGTAACTTCAAAACATGTGACAATGTTTAAATTATTTACAACTGGTTTTTCCTTCTAAGATAGTACTATAAATATAATTGTTGACTTACTAGTAAATACTTTTTCTTCTTTGAATATGTTACTGTAATAAGTCAGAGTTCATTTTTTTTTAACCTTGAATTTTTTATGCCATGCAGTACCTTTAAAGTCGTTGGCACAGAAATGCAGTCATTATATTGCCTTGCTGCACACTGCGATGGCCCCGCAGTGTTCGTATACAGCCTCAAGGGGTACATGGACAGTGACAACATGATGATTAATATCCCTTTCAACTCAACTGAATTCAGGAACTGCAATCTTGCATTAGAGGCATGTTAATAATGGCCAGTGTTGTCTTGCTCATTTTACAAGCATCTCTTTTCTAGGAGTGGCCCTTGTAGTCATAAAACTTTAAAGAAATGTATAGGAAACAAAAGTTTTCAAAGGGATGTATTTCTAAATATGCTCAGGATTCCCCAGTGATCAGCCTCGCATGCTTTTTAAGTGAGTCAGGGCAAAAATTAAAATCTCATAATTCCGTATCACACAAATATGTGCTCTGGACAGAAAACGAAATAATTTTTTTCTGGATAGAAATAGAATCTTGTCTAATATTTATTATGTCAAAACTTGCTAATGTAGGGCACCTGGGTGGCTCAGATGGATCAGCGTCTGCCTTCAGCTCAGGTCATGATCCCAGGGTCCTGGGATTGAGTCCTGCATCAGGCTCCCTGCTCAGTGCAGAGCCTGCTTCTCCCTCTCCCTCTGCCATTCCCTCTGCTTGTGCTCTTCTGTCTATCTCTCTGTGAAATAAATAAATAAAATCTTAAAAAAAAAACCCGCTAATGTAAAATTACCTGCAGTGAAGACCAAAGTTGTGAATAGTACGGTTTCAAATAATAGAAGTTCTACTTAACCCTAAATTATACCAATATGTGAATCTATATTAAAATGCCATTTTTAATATACTTTATGTACTTCCTTTTTGTGACGAGCTTAAATCATTCTGCAGCTATAATGTCTTTAATCCTAATGTTTGAATTCAATCCAGATTGATCAGCCAATCCTTATACAATCAAGGACATTGAAGCTTACTCAATTGAAACCTATATTTGTACTTAGGGAACTAATGTCTTCTTACTGTTCCCTTTCCTTTTTTGGTCCCTAATTCCTTTGGTCAGGGAAATTGGACACAGCTCTTGAGTATGGATTAACTAAGCTAGCCCTGACTGAACTGGCTAGTGTTTCAATCTGCTGGAGGTTAAACAGAAACTCAACTGGTTCCACATGACTGGAGTCTCTGCTGTTTTATCTTGCAGACTGTACTATTAATTTAATAGCAGTGCTGCTGGAGTGGATGTGGTGATGCAGATGGCACCATTTACATTTTGGACCTGGCTCTATTAGAATCCTGCTGTTAAAGACTTTGAGCAGTGGGCTGTAGAGTGGGCTTATTAAACTAGTGAGTCTTGCATAATTAAAACAGTGAATTTGGCTGCAGTTTAAAATAAATTTCTCAAAGCCTGGGTTAGAGATTAGTACCTGAATAGATTCCCCGAATAGACCAAATATATTTTGGAAAGTGAATATTTCTCAAGAAAGAGAAAATGGAGCTTCAACTGTTGAAGACTTAAATGGGCTTTCGAGGTAGTTTCTTCTTTCCGTATTTTTTCTGTGTCAGTATGAATGGAAGAGTCCATTTTACTGCTTGGTTTCCTCATCCAGGTAGAATAATGCCTGCTTTTTATTTCCAGGTAGTTCAGTGAAAATAAATGTGGTTTTATAACTATTCACATATGTAGATAAATATGTTTTCTATATGCCACATTTCGTATCAGTTATGGTTATATATGCTAGGTAGTTAAGAATTTACTTTTTTATCAAAATATCTGAACTCTTATAAGAAAAGACACAATATATCCAAGGTACTAATAGCCTGTGATGGTTATAGACATGCCAGCAAATATCTGAGTCTAAAAGGCTGGTAAAAAAAATAAAAATAAGGAAAAAATAAAAAGCTGGTGAGTACTGGTGAAGCTGGGGGAGATAAAAATGTTGGTAGTGATAGAAGCTAGATCACACCCTATTGTCTCTCTTTGTCTCTCTCTCTTTTTTCCTCCTGTAAGGGATTTATATGGTATTCAAAAAGATTTTAGGAGTGTGAAAAGCCCTGGAACTCTACATGTAGATGATTTACTCATCAGATGGAATACAGAAAACCATAGCATATGTAGTCCCAGAGAACATACATTTCCAAAATCATTCTGTATAAATATGTTATCTAATTCGTTTTTAAAGTGTCAATGAATTGGTTTCAATCCCCACTTCTTTTCATAACTTTTATAATTATCCACCTTATTGAGATGATTTTAATTCATGAAGCTAAGGTAACTTTTGTTCCTATTTTTTCCGTTTAATTTGTCAGATGTTTTTCTTAGGGAAAATGCACCAGTTTCATGGAACTGAGGAGCAAACCCTTTAACTCTTTTTTTTTTTTTTTTTTTTTTTTGGAGAGAGGGGGAGAGAGAGAGAGCCCAAGAGGGGGTAGGGTCAGAGGGAGAAGCAGACTCCCTGCTGAGCAGGGAGCCCGATGCGGGACTGGATCCCGGGACTCCGGGATCATGACCTGAGCCGAAGGCAGTCGCCCAACCAACTGAGCCACCCAGACGCCCAAACCCTTTAATTCTTATCTGGCAATAAGTACTTATTTTGATTTTAAGGCATAAGCTCTGACATGTTAGTTAATGTTTACATTTTAATTAACCTGGGGTTTTTTTCCTACTTAAAAGAAGTTGTAATTTATTTTATAAATATGATCACAGTAATGTCTGTACTTGTGACCTTATATTGAATTAATATAGTAATTCAGTCGACTAGTCCATTTGTTTAAAAGAAATTTACAACCATATTTTAACTTTTCTTGGATTACCGAAGATGCTGTTCACCAAATTTTTGCTAATATAAATGGCCTTGATGGGCAGGTGGAATTCCATCATGCCAGAGGAGTTGTAGGCACTGAGTATTTTGCTGTGGCAGAAGTTAGCTTGAAGAATGCTGATTCCATTCCAAGGGGATGGTTTCTAATGGAAGATTTTATAGGTCAAAATGATCTTGCAGAATACACTCATATTTAAAGCCAAACATTTTAGAATATATTTCTGTCTAACCTCTAAGAACTAATTTCCAGATGGAGATGAATAAGGCAGCCTAGAGACCACAGCCCATGAGTAACTCAGGTGAAAGGATGATCGTTGTGGAATGCAGAGCCGCATGACAAATGACAAGAAATATTGGTCAGTCTCATCTGGTAGTCCACAGTTTAGATATCCTTCATAGGTACAAATAACTATGTACACATAGGCCTTAAAAGAAAAGATATACATTCATTGTAGGGAATTATAGAAACTAGTGCTATTTGTCATAAATTAAAGGTCCAAGTCATGATTGTTAAAGACCATTTCCCTGGCTCATGGTAAACACTCAGACATGTTTATTCAATAAGTAGCTAGGAGCACAGTATATGATTGCAACAAAAAAGGATGTCACCATTATTTTCTCCTACTTTTAGAAATGTCTTGAATTAATCTGAGTCAGAATCCAAATTTAGGAACTACTGCCTATGTAACCTTGGACAAGTTAATTCATTTTTGTTGCCTCTATTTTCTCATATGTAATATGGGTATGATACAGTTGTGAGGATTAAGTGATTATGAAATGCATATATGAAATTATTCAAAGAATTCTTGGCAAATTTAAATTTCAACAGTAACTATCAGTCAATTGACTAGTCCTCTTAATCACTACTGATTAGGTCAGTGACAATCCCTTGCAGATTTCTTATCTGCATTATTTCTCATCCTATATTTGGGACCACTTGATACCTATCAGATCATAGACTGAAGGAACTTAAGATCTGTCATCCCAAGGTTCTGTAACACAACACTAAACTAACTTTATTGCCACTTCACCCCTGTATTTCTGCTTCCTTCCTAAAAAATCTTATACAAGCATTTATCTAATAAGAAACAAATACTGTACTTAATCTAGGCTTTCTAATGTTTTACTTAACCTTCATGGAAGAATCCAACATGGTAGCTACAAACCCACTTAAAACTAAGAATACTGAGGTTTATCTGAACTTAATGATTTTTCTCAATGTCTCATGTGTTTATTAAGTTGTAGAGCTAAATGTTAATCTCAGATTTCTCTAACTTAAGAACACGTGGCTTTCCCACTATCCCCGCCTTCCCATTTTCTTTCTTATTTTTGGCTCCATTGTGTCTAAGGGTCTGTACTAGAATTTTCTCACAGCTAGATGATCTTGAATTTTTCTCTGAAGCCCCACGGTTGGAACCTTGTAATCTGCTGATCAACTTCACTGATCTGCTTGTACTTCCATAGAGCCTGAACTTGTCTTACTTGATGGCCTCCCTGCATAGCAGGCATCATGTACTTAATAAACTGGATCCACCTCTAAGTCTCCTCACCATTATTGCTACACTTAACAAAATGAGAAATGAGACCTGACAGTACTTACTCTTTTGGTAGAAATGCCAAATGGGTGAAATGCCAAATGGGTGTATTAGTTTCCTGTGGCTGCTGTAACAAATTGCCAAAAATGTGGTGTCTTGAAACAATAGAAATTTATTATCTTATAGTTCTAGAGGCCAGAAATCTAAAATCAGATTCACTGGGTCCAAATCAAGTTGTCATCAGGGCCAAACTACCTCAGGGGCTCTAGGAGAGAATCTGTTCCTTGCCTCTTCCAGCTTCCGGGGCTGCTATAC